GATTGAAATATGTGCCTTTGGGGTTGCAGTGCTGTTTCTTATTACTAGGCCACCAGAGCTCCCCATAATTTTATGGTGTTAGATTAATTTTTATATAGCTCTTCAAAATCAGTCAAACATTCTTCTACGTGGTATAGCACTGGTCTGTCCATTTGCTGTACAGAGGTAACTCATGGTTGCTTTGAAGATGAAGTCTATGATACTGATGTGTCAAATGTGATAGTGGTTACCCATATTAGACAGTGTTTGGTGGTGCTCCCCAATTAAAACAAGCTTGGAAGCAGGAGTGACATCCACTGCCGAAATAGCTTGCCTCCAGAAACCCTATGAACTTGGAGAAATGATGAAAGTTATACAAGTGTTCAGGTCTTTTGTTCATAGGGTCACTATGAGTCATCTATGACTCAATGGCACGTAACAACAACAACAACAACAACAACAAGATACTTACTTTTCTTTAGAATCAATAAGCAACTCTCACATCTTCAAGCACTTGCAAACAAAATTGGTGTAGTACTTGATGGATATAATAAAAAAGATCAGATAAAATATGTACTGGGCTTTTGTACAAAGAAGAATAAAAATTAACAAAACAACAGAAAAACCCTTATTTATGTTTGAGTTTAATATAATCTTAGCAATACGTTAATAACAATATATGCATAATGTTAAAAGTGTTTAGAGAGAGCTCTAGTGACCTCATGGCAAGAAGCTGCACTGCAATCCCAAAGGCATGTGGTTCAAATCTACCAACTGCTCCACAGGAGAAGGATGAGCTGTCTCCTCCAGTGTGATTAACTGCCTCTGAAAACCCACTAGAGTGTCAGCTATGGGTTGGTTCTAACTTTATGGTACACAACAACAACAAGTTTTCTGGACCCAAGTTTGGGTGTCTACAATATCTTACATATTCATGAAGTCCCTAGGAGTCAAAATTAGGTTCATAGCAATTTTTTTTTCTTTTTGTAATGTTTACAATGTAAAACATGACCTAATTTATCATCTTATTCCCCAATATGAGAGAGTCAATCACCTAAGTGATTCTTCCTGTCTTGAAACATTTACTAACTTAGTTAGTGGTATTTTATTTTCTCAGTCCTTGATAAAATGCTAACGTGCAAGGAATCCACCCATTGCTAAAGAACTTTTTTGGGGGGATACAGATATATAGCGTAATTTTAAAGTCCACTAAGCTAGACAAGCTTTTCCTTTATTAGTCAATAATGAAGTATGTTTGCCCTTTACAAACAAGTGTAATTAGCTAATTAATTCCTCTATAGGTAATTACTACATATTAGTTTTACATTTCTTTTCAATTCCTATTAGAAAATCAATAACAAACTTATTTTAGTCCCATTTCTATCAACTCACCTATGCCTGCCCCTCACACACATTACTAAATTGTCACCGTTGCTAGCTGCTCCAAATAATGCCCAAGGAATTTAATAAAAAATGTCCACATATGATGATGTAGAAATCTCAGTTCCTTTAAAATGGACATACCTTTCTTCCTGCTAAAAGCCCGGTTCATGATGTTAGAGTCAAATGCGCCTTATGACCTATAAAAAGGAAAAAAAAAATCTTTAGAAATAAATGAAGTGTCAAGCAATCTCATCTATGGTAATGCACTTTTAAACACAAACCATTTTCATTTTGTAAAAAAAAAATATTTAAAACATCATCCTAAAATGTTCCAAAAAATAACAAGTAAGTATCAACCATAACTAACATAAGTGCTCCTTATTATGAATGGTACAAAAAGACCCTAACATATAAAAATAAAATGCTCCTGTTTTAGGAGACATTTAGAAATATGGGCTGGGGTTTGGAAAACAGTTCTGGCCTTGAGATTGGATTTGTGAATCATAGAAGTAATAGTAAAATGACGAGAAGATAAAGAGTATAAACAGAAGAAAAATGTTATCAGAATCTAATATTTCAGTTGTATTTCTCTTAAAACTAATTTCATTCTCTGGCAGTCTACAATATAGACAATCCTTAAGTAAAAAAATGCTTGAAAAACACACAACCTGTAGTTGTAGTTATAAACCAACCACCATAAAACCTATTATATTAGAAATGTAAGAAACACACAATGATGTGTAGTAAAGCCATGCCTTTTGATGCACAAAAAATAATAAATGGCTCCAAAGTTGTTTAATATTTTCCCCTATAGTACAGTGATTGTATGCATCTGCAAATTCAAAGAGAAAAAAAATCAATAAATATTCTTGAACTTAAAAGTAAAGCGTAGTAAGTTTTTTATGCCATCATTAGGAAGATAAATGAAATTCTCTAAATTATTACTTTGACGGTAAAATCATGTTTATCACATTACTCAACATAGAATATTTAAAAGTATTTTTTAGTTAGCTGAGTTTCAGAGAGGTTTTAGGACTATAACAAAGATAGAAACAAATAGTATACTTTTAGTAATAGTGGTTAGAAATGAGGGCTAACACTACAACCTAAGCCTGTTTTACAGATTGGATGGGTACAGATTAGGTCGACTGGAAATCATTTAGCACCGTATTTGCCATTATTGTGATAGACTACTTTGTTCTAATGGAAGAATTTCAATGGTAACTATCCAACAACTTTATGTATAAGCAATCAAAGGAAATAAAAAGATTTTTCTATCATTCTCTAAGTAACTCAGGAAGTCTTGGGTATAAATTAAAATTAAAAATAAACCAGAATTGCATTGTTAATCTGTGTTTGAGATCCATATAAGAGTTACAAATCTTACCAATGAAATCAGCCAAAGCAGTATTTTTTTTTTTCCACTCTCTGGCAGTGAAATATTCCTGAATTCATGTTAATATAGTGTCACATTTCTAATTTATCTCTACAGAGACTAACGCTTCAGGGGCATATTAGAGTACCTTGAACTTAACTTTTTTTAGGTCTAAAAATGGTGTTTTATCTAGTACCTGATATTTTCTCACTTTTAAACTTAAAATTAGTCATAGAAATAAAGCATTCAAATTAACAATCTATCGTCTTATAATTGGATAATATGGCTTATATTAGCACAAATCAAAGGAAACGTATATAATAGCATAACAGCCTAAGAAAATGATCAAATAACTCTCTCCTTCAGTTTTCTGCATTATCTTGTGTCCTTAATAGAGATCAATTAAGCAGAAACAATCCTAACTGTACATCCAAAAGTCTGTAGGTTGTGAAATTCCATATGAACAGAACTAAAATCAATCGCATATATGTAAACCTAAGTGTAACCTAGATTCTGTTTCATTTTGTACTTTAGATTAGGACATTGTTTGAAGTATTGTTCAATATTTTCTATCATAATCATTTTATGACATTATGCTCTCTCTCCTTTTTATGCTGGTTGTTGACATGAGCATCATATCCTTTTAGTCTTACTACTGCCGCTGTTTCACCAAACACTTTGATATTCATACTCTTTCTGTGAGGGAAGACTTGCGGGACTCAGTTACTAAGGTTACACTGTCAAAATTTTTACTTTTTTTTTTTTTAAGGACTATAATAACAGTGGCAGCTGAATTCCTGCTCTATGGAACTAAGACTTCATACTTGATAGATTGTTAAGCAAATATATAAGTTATATTTTGCTTCAAGATTAGGATAATCTCAACACAAAGCAACAATAACAATTTAACAATAAGTGCCATCAAGTGGACCCTGATTCATAATGACAACAGAATGACAATGCTGCCTGACTCTGAGCCATCCTCATATCGCTGCCACGTCTGAGCCAACTGCTCGCAGTTATGTCAACCCATCTCATTGAGGGTCTCCTCTTTTTCACAGACCCTCTATTTTACCAAGAATGATGTCTCTTTGTAAAGACATGTCCAAAATATGTAAGGAAGAAGTACTTCTTATTCTAAGGAGAATTCTAGCTGCACTTCTTGTAAGAATTGTATTTTTATTTCCATTGCCATTTTCCCACCCTTTATGAAGGCGCTTCACTTTTGTACCAAGAATAAATTTTATCTTGTCAATTATGACTATCAGTAATCATAAATATGCATAGATTTAACACTTAAATAATTTTGAGAAGTTTTTATTCTTTTTTTCCCCTTCATTTTTAAAAGAGAGTTCTGTTTGTGAAAGAGAAACAATCCCTTTCACCAGTTTGTTGGTTTTTTTTTTCCTTTTACCAGTTTTTAAGACCACCCTCACAGGGAACTTTTCCTATCTTTTCACTTGCAGTCCAGAGCGTCTAATAATAAAGCTTGTGGTTTTATCAGGAGGAGGAGCAGAAGAGCAAAGGAAAAGGCAATCCTCCAAAAGAGAGCTTTCAAATAAAGATTCTGAAGAAAATGACATTCTGTCTCTTGATGAAACAATGCTTTGTCTCTGCCACCACAAACATGATGGTCCTACTTTTTAACTTTGCCATCAAGTCAGAAGTGACTATGACCTGCCAGCAGGTATGTGGAGGCTGCAAATTGCGGGGGAGAAGACTTCCCGTTTTCTTCATCAGGAGTGCTTGTGAACTGGAGTCCCCGAAAGGCACAGGCTTTGGACTAGCTGTGCATTTCCCTGAAGACTCGTTCAACGAGCTCCTGTGTGTGTGGGTGTGTAATGTTAGTGGGAATGTCTTAAACTTACTTTTTCTTTAGGTTTTCTATAATTCTTACACTTCTAAAAATTCTCATCATCTTTTATCACTCTCCTGTCAACGTTGACATTTACCCTAGACATCAAATCCTGGAAAAAGTGAACATTAAAGAAATCTCACTGCTGCTTTGTATTCTGGAAATGGTTTACAGCAGAGAGACCCTTCCTTAAGTCTTAATTACTCACAGATGTCTCCTTTTTCTAGGGTAAAACCAGACACAGATTTTGCAAATTCCTGTTCTTTGCTTTATAAATTACTAGCTGGGTTATTTGTGTCCACAGATAAAAATAAACTAAATACCTGCTACCTCGACTTGACTAAATTGCAGTTAAGCTTCTAGCTTTTGCTCTGGCCCCTGAATTTTGAGCCAACCTCCAACAAAGTCAGTTTACAATTCTCCCTCCTAAAATATATCTACCTCTGAGCTTCTCTCTGCCAGACACTTCCATTCATCCTACAAGCACTCCCTGATTCTAACAGTTTATTGTCTACCTTTTAAAAATTAAAAATAAAACGCCATTTGAGCCTAAGGAGTACTGGTGCCGTAGTGTTTAACATATTGAGTAACTAAGTGAGCTTACTGGTTTCCACATATCAGTGATACCTTGACAAAAATTTAGATATTTTTTCCACAAAGATTTACAGCCTCAAAATCTATATAAGATCTCCTTAAGTCACAATTGACCAGATGGTAATTCATTTGGTTTGGTGCCTAAAGTTAGAAGTTTACAGATTTTTAAGGTGGCATTATCTCACTGTCTTAATAATTTTCTCCCTAATTACAGTACACTTTTTAATAAAGCCTATATTTATTTGTCTAAGACAACTAATTTTTAAAATTTTATTTTACTATTTTAATCTGTGGCCCTCAGGCCTGGTTCAAATTGTTTTTTTGTCAGACATTCTTCTAGGTGGTATAGCACTGGTCTGTGCATTGCTGTACAGAGATAACTCATGGTTGCTTTGATGACAAACACTGTGACACTGATGTATCAAATGAGATAATGGTTACCCATGGTGGACAGTGTTTGGGGAAGCTTCACGAGCTTGGAAGCAGGAGTGGCATCCATGTCCAAAATGGCTTGCCTCTGGAAACTCTATGAACAGTGCTCAGGTCTTCCATTCATAGGGTTACTATGAGTCGTCTACGACTTGATGGCATCTAACAACAACAACAACAGAAAGATTTCCATCAAGAAAAATTGATGCCTTTGAGTCCTGGTGTTGGAAAGGAATACTGACTATCTTCTTTACTACCGGAAGAACAAAAAGATATTTCTTGGAGAAGGTGTAATCAAAGTGCTTCTTGACGGAAAGAATGGCAAAGTTTTGTCTCACGTATTTCAGCCACATTGTTGCTGTTGCGGCTGCTATGTGCCCATGCATTGTGTAGGACTCACAGTGCCCCTGTGAACAACAGATCAGAATCTTGCCCTATCCGATGCCATTCTCAATTTCTCTGACACGCTGAAGCCCACTGTTGAAGTCACTGTGTCAATTCATCTTGTTGAGGGCCTTCTTTGCGTTTGCTGACCTTTTCAAACATGATATCCCTTTCCAAGGAAAAGCCTCTCTTTACGTCCTGTACAAAGTTTGAGAGATGAAGTGCCTGTTCATATCCTGTGCCCATTTTTCTATTGGATTCTTTACCTTTATCTTGTTGTGGTGCTCAAGTATTTCATAAATTCTGGATATAAGTCCCTTATCTGATATGTTATTACCGAATACTTTTTCCCAGTCAGTGGCTTCCCTTTTTACCCTATTGGAGAAGTTTTTAGAAATGCTCAAAATTCCTAACCCTAAGAGAGATGCAAATTAAAACAACTATGAGATATCATCTCACCCCAGTCAAAATAGCAAAATTTAACAGAACAGCAAGCAACAAATGCTGGCGAGGTTGTGGAGAAACTGGAACC